CCTCTATTTCTAAGAATCTACCTATTTGTACTCTCAAACAAAAACTTTGCGAGGAAAAAAATTCGGGAAAAGTGCCAAAAAAGTCCTAAACCTTTTGCATTAGTGCCAATTTAGTCCTAAACCTTTTTTTGGTGCCAATTCAGTCCTAAACCTTTTGCATTTGTGCCAATTTAGTCCTAAACCTTTTTTTGGTGCCAATTAAGTCCTAAACCTTTTAAATTGGTGCCAATTCAGTCCTAAACCTTTTATTTTTGTGTCAATTTAGTCCTTCCAGTCAATTTTGAACAGAATTTGCCGACGTGGACGCCGCCGGCCGGTCACCGACATGGACAACTTTAATAATATTTTAATATTTTTTTGAATTTTTACTTTTTTTCCTTTTTTTTCTTTTTTTTTCCACTTTTTTTTTGTCCCCCATCCTTCCTCTGGCCGGTCGCCGGTCCGGCGACCGGCCAGAGGCCAAAGGCCGGCGAGCTCGACCTCGCCAGATCCGGCGAGCTCGGGCCTCGCCGACCACTGGCGAGGCTCGAGCCCTCGCTGGAGGCCGCGGCGAGGGCGAGCCTCGCCATGGTCGGGCGAGGCCCGACCTCGCCGGATCCGGCGAGATCAAGCCTCGCCCGACCATGCCGAGGCTCGCCCTTGCCACGGCCTCCGGCGAGGGCTCGAGCCTCGCCTTGGTCGGGTGAGGCTCGACCTTGCCGTGGCCGGCGAGGCCCGACCTCGCCGGATCCGGCGAGTCGGCGGGCGAGCTCGACCTCGCCCGGATCCGGCGAGGTCGGGCCTCGCCCGACCATGGCGAGGCTCGCCCTCGCCACGGCCTCCCGGCGAGGGCTCGAGCCTCGCCGGTGGCCGGCGAGGCCCAACCTCGCCGGATGGCGAGGTCGAGCCTCGCCCGACCAAGGCGAGGCTCGCCCTCGCCGGGGCTGCGAGATTGAGCTCGCCGGCCTCGGCCTCGGCCGGTCGCCGGACCGGCGACCGGCCGAGGAAGGAGGGGGGACCAAAAAAAAAAAGAAAAAAAGGAAAAAAAATAAAAAATTCAAAAAAATATTAAAATATTACTAAAGTTGTCCACGTCAGCGCCACGCCAGCGCCGGTGACCGGCCGCCGGCCGGCAGGCGTCCACGTCGGCAAATTCCGGTCAAAATTGACCGGAAGGACTAAATTGGCACAAAAGCAAAAGGTTTAGGACTGAATTGGAACCAATTTAAAAGGTTTAGGACTTAATTGGCATCAAAAAAAGGTTTAGGACTAAATTGGCACCAATGCAAAAGGTTTAGGACTGAATTGGCACAAAAAAAAGGTTTAGGACTAAATTGGCACTAATGCAAAAGGTTTAGGACTTTTTTGGCACTTTTCCCAAAAAAATTCAGACCGCTTCGGTTCATGTTTCATTGGCGAGCGATGACCCGTGTGGTCACATCCCAATTTCTCTGCACATTTAAGATGAAAGGATAATAACGTAAATTGTCCATGAACTTTGTATCAATATGCAATATGGTTCATAAACTTTTAATTTGTTCAATGTGGTTCGTCGACTTTAGCTTAATGTGTAATGTAGTCCCTGAATCATGTTCGAATTAGTCACTGGATTACATGAAAATGTTCAATATTGTTCGTAAACTTAGGTTAATGGAAGGACAATATTGAGTATTTTCGTATAGTTTAGAGACTAGTCAAAATATTTATCAAAATTTCGAGGACCACATTACACATTAGGCAAAAATTCAGGGATCACATTGAACAAATTAAAAGTTAAGGGACCACATTAGACATTGGTTCAAAGTAACCATTTATAACAATACAAATTTCATAAATCATATATCTAAGGGAAAGTCTCACTAAAACTGTAATTCACTATGCTTCCACTATGCTACTATGATATTTCCAAGAATTTCTTATTGTTTAGACCTGCAAAACTAGTAGTATGGGTATGGTCGGTCGAAATGTTCGATGGACGGCCCCCCGATCAAGCTAAACTTATGGCCTAGGCTCGCCCATTAACAAAGGAAATATACAGTACGTTCTCGGGATAGCTTGGGACCGATCCTATAACTATAAGCCGTTGCCGAAGCCCGTCCAAAGATTCCTTCGAGACCTTGTCGCTCGGAATGTGCTTGGGCAGGCATGAAGGCCACTAAGAATCGTGATCAGTTCTAATGGTACGTCTCATACTGAGCAAGCTTATCCCAGACCGAGCAAACGATCCACGACCTCAGCTAACAATAGATCATATGATAACATGCACATGCACAATCAATCATGATATACAAAATCTGATAGGTATGAATACCATGATATGAATTGATTATGTTGTTGAGTAATTGGCACATTTTATGTCTTGACATCGTAAGCACCCATCTTCGCATAATGCACACATCAATATCAGCTGCACCTTTGGTAATACTAGACACACGTCAATCGCAATGAAAAAAACACTTCATTCTTGTTACCATCACCATACTAAATGTTTGTACGAAGTCGCTCCTTGTCCATGCTCTATCTTTGGTCTCGAGAGTCACTCTTCACCTAATCGGATAGGGTCAACACAAGTCCACTGATTTTTTGTCCGGTTCGTTTCTAAATCACACAACTCACCGAGAAAATCTTGTTCTCAACAAATCATGTAAAATTATACGCTAACCGATACTCATTCGTATTCAATCAACGTTAAAGTATATGCTAAATACACATCGCATAATTGGTCCCTCTTGATTTCTTCCTTTCTTGATGGTCACTCGTATTCGAATAAATGCATCAGTTTGAGGTTTTCGTGGTATTAACTCTTTTATTTAATCTCAATTTCACTAAACAACGGTCGATTTTTCTTCTTTGCCCCTATACCTCACTACGTCGTTTCACGTAGTTTCAGAGAAGTCAAGGCCCACACGCTAAGGGCAATTTTGTCCAACCATGGAGGTTTCTCTCTCTCTCTCTTCCCTTGTTGACGACGCTGCTCTGACTCTGAGCTTCATTCAGATTCTCTCTCCCGAAGGCCATTGTCACTCATCGGAGCTCCGCGATCATGGCTTCCGCCGGCGACGAGTTCGTCAAGCGCTCCGTTCGCTCCAACGCCAAGGAGCTTAGGTCAGTCTGCTCGATTTCAAGCTGAGTACTCTCGGTTGCGATCGCTGTGGGGATTAGGAGAGTGAATTAAGTTGGAATTAAGAGTTTGTGGAGTTTGATTTTGCGCCGTTGTCTATGTGAGGAGATGAAGCCATCGTGTGTGATGATGATAGGTTAAGTTTTGCATGTTTTGATTTGATCCTGTGGCGCAGACATGGACGTGAAGCTCAAGAGCTTCCTTGATGAGTGGGAATCGGACCCCCCCAAGGTGAAATGCTCTCTCCCTCGAAGGCGGTTCGGCTCGTGCCTTCTTCCGGCAGGTAATATGGGAGGAGACCTAGAGATACGTCTAGATGATTTGCACGAATCCCTATCTGAGTTGCCTCCTTTGGAGTCTGGAAGGTGATCTATGCTTGTGTGCGTCTCTGATGGCAACTTGATAGTTGCCTTGTTGGCATATGGATAAGCGTACTACAGTACAGTGACGAAATTTTCTTGTGTGCCATCTAGCAACTTGGGTTCCCTAAAAGAGGCTCTTTCGGCTACTACATCTTATGGCCCTAAAACAATACTAGGCGCATGCATCCATTTTTGTTTTTTTTATCTCATATCCGGCACCGTTTTCCACAATTCTTTCCTCGCGAAGAAGTTTCGGTAGAGTCACTGATATATGTAGTATAAGTGTGAGTTTAGGATGATTCTTGCATTACGCACCGCAATGTTCAAATTGAAAGATTTTTCTTTTAGAGGCTAAGATCGAGATAGTGCCAGTGTTTTTGTTAAATATGTTAGCGTGATGCCTTAAAAAGAAGAAACTTATATTCATCTGTGCTGCAGTTCGGAAGATCCCTTCAAGGACATTGGAGCACTTTTGGTAAGATTCAGTGGTGAATCCGAATCAGAGGCCCACTTAAAAATTGCTCTTACCTCACATTATCGCATGCTTTGGTGCAAATAGATCAGTTGTGGAGATAAATACAGAGCTGAGAAAGCATCAGCAGAGCTCTGATGTCAAAGGTCATTAAGGTTCTACTGATGATTGGATGACACTACAGATGCTGCACAGGGATGCCAGGCCTTGCGCACACTTTGCTATTTTGATTATTTTTTGAGGACTTTCCTTGTGGATGACATTTGGGCTTGCTTTGAGCTGCAATTTCTTATTAACGATAGAAAATTTATGGTTGACCTTGACTGCAGATCATTTATTGAAGCAGATTCTCCCGCCTGGGGTCGAGGTAACCTACATCTTTTGAAACGATCGCTATGTACAAAATCTCTATAATTTATTTCTGGATCAGCTTCCTCGTGGGCATTTTTCATTCAAAACTGGGCGATCTTCTGGAAGTAACGGTGTCTTCTTATTTGTGCAGGTCATATTGCACACTTGAATATAAATGATGAATTGCTTTACTACAAGGACGTAATTGCTAAGTCATCTATGACGTACGTATTGCTAACTCTCATACTTTATGAATGTTGCGTCTCTTTGGTCGGTTATTTTGTCTGTGCCATTGTCCGTAGCACACTAGTCAAGTTTTCTTGCATATTTTTTCTCCTGTACTCTTTTCTCTTCATTCTGAACTCAGCACCCTATACACATGCAACACCAAGCCGCAAGATGTGGGCTGGTGGTTCACAATCAGCAAAGTGTCTCTTCTGAATGTGTTCCGAGTATCATTTAGAGCATCACTTATTACCTGTTTTTAGGATGTTTTAAGTGGACAAGTGTGTGCTGCCTGAGGCCCTGAGCCTGCAGAGACATATGCCATTAAGTATGCGGCATCAATAATCTGTAGAAGTGACTGCTTCTTACATGAGCAGAAAAATTATCCGCGGATCTGGACGGTTGTTAATAAAGTTGGAACAATCACAAATGAGTTTCGTGTGCCGAAATTTGAAGTCTTGGCTGGAAAAAGTGATATGGTGACGGGGTGAATCAGTATGGAGCGACATTCAAGCTTGATTACAGTCTGGTGTATTGGAATTCAAGACTGGATCATGAACACATAAGAATTGTATCTAATTTCCGACCAGGGGAAACCATATGTGATATGTTTGCTGGCATTGGCCCTTTCGCAATCCCAGGTGCTCAAAAGGGGTGCATGGTGTATGCACATGACCTATACCCAGATAGTGTCAAGTATATAAAGATCAATGCGCAGTTGAACTAATTGGATGACCTTGTTCATACTTTCAACTTGGATGCGGGGAAATTTATTTCTCAAATGACGTCTTTGCCTGAATCCAAAACTAGTTTGGAATCTGATGTCAAAACTAGTTTGGAATCTGATGTTCTTACTGAAGAGTGTGAGATCAATAGGGAACTGTCAAAGCAGGAAGCTGAGTCAGATGGGACCCCAGGTATGGTTTTGCTGCAATTTGGTTGCTGTCTTTTTGCAATTTGATGGGTTTCAGTGTTATTCTCCAATGTATGACATGCAATTAACATTAATGTAGTACCCAATGACAATGTAAGCTATGGTGATGGTCTGAAAGGTTTATGTACTGGTGCAGTCACAGCTGCTCCTGCAGCCAAAAGACCATTAGATACTTCTAAAGAAGGTAACAAAAGCATTGCTGTCAAATATGCTTTTGCCATTTAATAGATTATCTGCTTCTTCATGTATGTGTTAGTCTGTTTAAGATGTTGTGCATGGCGGTGCATTTTGCTGATTCTTGCATTGTTTAATCAAGATTCAAGATAATTCATTTTCCCTGCATATTTCTGTGGCAGGTGCCAATGCCAAAGATTGCAATGTACTTGTATCTTGCAAAAGAAAAGGAAATAACAACAAGCGAATCAGGGCCACTGAGTTGTCCTATTCTAAGACACGGAAGCACGTTGATCATGTGGTTATGAACCTTCCTGCATCTGCTCTCACATTTTTGGGTCTCTCTCTCTCTCGTGTGATTTGGTATAGCATGAAATTTTGTTGACATACGTTGTCTCAATACGTCTTCTCCAATGAGAAGAAAACCGTCTTGGGTTTGTTTCAATTCCTTTAGACTGTGTTGAAGAGACCAGATGAGACAGAAAGAGCAGTCAGCATCGCATTCTTTGTGGGAGAAAAAGTTTTATTTCAATAGTCTTCTCAAATTTTTCAAAATATCTTCACATTACATAGCTGCATAATGCATTGAGTTGCTACCTTAATGGCTGATTGTGATGATACTTTAAACCTCTATAGCCTAACTTCGTGTTTTGTTATTTAATGTAGCAATTTAAGCATTATTGATAATTCTGATTTGCACTTTTGTGTTAAAAAAGAAATCCAAGACATTGGGTAGTATATGTTTACTTAGGCTGATGCAGTTCTTCTCCAAGGCCTCTTCGTTTTTCTCTTGTAAATCTTTTGCGTCGTCTTTCAATATCGTAGAATACTTCTAAATATTTATTTAAGCTGATTAGAAGATCCTGAAAGGCAATTTTGTCTCTAATTCTTTTTTGCCTCAGCTGTGTTTAGGGGGCTTAGACACAGTAAATATTGGAAGGGACCCTCTCCCTGGATTCACTGCTATTGTTTTATGAAGGCTAGTGAAACCAAAGAATCCATTTTGGCAGTAAGTTCTGTTCTACAGGAATGTAAATTCATGTCGACTTGTTAATGTTATTGTCTTTTGCCAGTCTAAACACGATACTTGTGCAATCTTCAAGTTGATTTGACTTAGTTTGGGTGGTAATTACCAATATACTTCCTGACTTGCTGTTGGTATTTATGCTTTCTCATGGATTTTACATTGATTCTTTAAGCTGCCTCATTAAATAGATGCACTTTACTGATTAATGTGTACTGAAACCGAAAAAGTCTTGTGTGCTTCATTGCAAAAATTAGTTTGTTAGTTGTTGCATTACTTACGTGGGTACTCCAATGAAGTTTACCTGGGCAAAACAAATAAGAGTGAACTTAAAAATTTTGTTAGAGATTTCGGGAACTTTGGTGCTCATCTTAGTTTTACTGTTGTGCCTCATTATCTCTATCTTCTGGGATCAATTAAGAACTGAAAACTGAAGATTATAGAGAGCTTAAGGGAGATAGCTTTGGCTGGGAAATATTATACCAGACTTCCACATCATTGCTACTAGAAAGAGGTTCTGTTATTTTTTAGGATGAATTAGGAAGTTGAATTAAAACGGCACAAGTAGTTGAAGTGAATAGTAGGACTTGACAGACCACATGTTCAGGCAATCACAAGGCCAAAAGAGGGTTGGCAGAGCCTTATTATTCAATTTCCTCAAACTTTTAGTTCTGTTGTTGACATTTGAAGTTTTGTCATGGAGAATGTAATCTTAAATGCACCGCCCCATGACAAAGTGTCACCCGATACCTCAGTTAGATGACCGGAGCTATGAGGGTTCGAGGATCGTAGGCGTTTTGGGGGGGGGGGGGGTGGGTGTGTTCAGAATGTTAGGTTCAACTTTGAGTTCTTTTAACTTGTGATTTGTCTATAATGGGATAAGCCTGCAATCGGTACCATTGTTCCTTTTTTGAACTTTTTGTTTGTTATCGACATGAAAAGTTTCAAATGAGAGTATTCTAGACTGCATAGCTGCACTTTCCTTGGATGTTTTATCATTCATCGTCCTGTGAAAACACTTTGGATTCCGACAGGTGGCAAAACGTGCCCTTAGCGAGTCAATATTCCACAGGGTTAGGGATGTGGCTCCGAATAAGGTACTCTCTGGCAAGCGCTCCGAGCGTTTCAATTATGTCTAGGTGTTAAAGGATGCCCTCATGGGCCTTCCTATTGAGTGTTAAGACAATTGTTGGTTTTGCAGGCGATGTACTGCCTTAGTTTCAGGCTGCCGGAAGCATGCTTTAAGGAAGATTCCCATAACTCTAGTCGGCCTGCTGAAGGGAAGTCGTAAGCGCTGTAGGAACAATTACGCGGGGGGCTAAACACGGCCTCTCGCCTAACTATTAAGAAGGTATTTAATTTTAACTCGATCGAAGGAGGGAACTCATCATCAACGGGACACGGTTGTTTTATCGAATCGAGGCCGGCGTCCACGCAAATGCTGCTTACGGTCCGAGAAAAAGCAAGCGGATGTATGTTTGCGTATGATCTGTCTGTCACAAGAGTTTCGAAGTCTAAAAAGGATATGAAATATGAGATGAATTTTTTCTGTTTTTTTGGCAGTTCGGTTCTTAGGATTTCCAGCTTTGTTGGGCTGGTTCCCAATGCTTTGTAGCTGATAATCAGCTTTGTTGGGGTATCGATGGGTTGGGTCGGGTCGGGTCCGGTTTGCATGATACCCGACCCGACCCGAAATGCTAGACAAGTGTGCTCGGCCCAACCTGAGACAAGACCCGAATGAGATATAGCCAAGTGATCGGGTTAGGTCGATCCGGGTCGGGTTCCGTGTTTCAAACTCAGCCAAACGATTCTGTTCTTGCTTTCTCGTCACCTCAAAAACCTGCCAAATTCATTCCACGCCCAAAAATGAATATCTCTTATTACAAATTCAAAATTACAACCATCATAACCTCCCATTTCATATCTACTCGCCATTAACCCATCTCAGGTTCCTCCACAATCGAGCCGAAGACAACATTCAAACAACAAAAAAACGAAAAGAAACACTAGAGACCTGATTCGCATGAGGACAGCTGTTGATTTTGCGGAGGGCCTTCGCTCCCCTCTCCAATGCCTCCGGGTCGAACCCACCCCGCACCTCGCGGCTCCTCGAGAGGCTCAGGCTTCGACGGCGAGGCCGCGCTGGAAGGGGCATCTTTGGTGTGCTGCAACGGAGGGGAAGGGAGCGTCGGCGTACGCTCGGGTCGAGAGCGTGGACGCCGCGGCCGCCACAATCGCTGAGGACAGTCTGGAGGCTGCCATTTCCGGGCTTCAATCTAGACCCTCGATGGCTTCCGTAGGAAAAGGGGAAGAGAGAACGGGCGGTGCGGATCGAGATTTGCGCGAGTCGAGCATAAATCCCAGCACCGTGGCGCCGCTGGGGCTGGTCATGTCGCCGGTGCGGTTGCCGTCGGACTCGATTGGGAACTCAATGGTCTTGCCCTCGGCAAGGCTGTGGAAGAGCCCTGGATCAGAAATTGCAGAAGAGATCGCAAAAGAAGCGAGAGAGTGAGAGAGACGTGGCAGAGAGATCTAAAGGGTTTCCTTGTTTGGGTTGGGCTTGGGTATCTGAGCCCAATAAATTCAAAACAATACCCAATTAGCTTTATTGTTACCCAAACAAGTTGGGGCCCAACTCAACCTAATACAAAAATTATTAGTTCGGGTCTAGTCGGGTCGAGTTGTGTTTGATTGGGTTATTTTGACAGCTCTAGTAATAGCCTTGTCAGTGTTACGAACTTCTTTTTAACTTTCAAATTTCGATATTCAAGAGTCGGCTTCTGATTTAAATAAAAACCACAATATGTTATATTTGATCAATTACGACTTGAAAGTTAAAAGACAGTTTTAAGAGAGAAAATTGACTTAGAATTGAATTAAGATCGGTAGAAATTCCTAAAAACTAAGAATCGAATCATTTGCCTCCCTACGAGGGCCTCCTCGGTCTATTCATTTGCATGTAGGAACGATGGGTTTTGGGAATATGTTCCTTATTGTAACGCGTCGGTGCCCGCATGCTCTGTATCTCTAATTAGGGGAAAGTTTTTCTTTCCTCGTCCCAGAAAATTACCTCATGTTTAACGTCCAAGATTTCAGACGAAGTCTTTTAAGATCTTGCGTAGGACCTTTATAACCTGAAACCTTTCACATTTAAAATCATCATAAAAAATAATAATCTTTTTCATCCATTCTTTTCTTCCGGTTGCTTTCGAGAAGCAAAAGGACCAAACTGGAGCCCCCCCCGTTCTCTCCCAACCCCGTAACGTGATCGCTTCACTTTGCCGTTGCCGCTATCCCGTTCCGTCTCCAAATTTACCAAAAAAAAAAACAAAAAGAAAAATAGTAATATTCGCGGGATTTTGAATTTGAATCTCGTAACGGACAGATTCACTCTCTCTCTCCTCTCTCCTCTCTCTTCTCTTTCTTCGCGTCACACACCTTCTTCACCGCACACGCACCCGCAGGACAGAGAAGCAGAAGCAGAAGCAGAAGAGCAGAAGCAGAGAGAGCGAACCGGGGAAGATGGCGACCCTCACGCAGGGCATCCTCCTGAAGCTCCTCCAGTCCATGAACTCCTCCAACGCCCGCGTCGCCGGCGACCACTGCTCCGCCCTCCTCCAGGTCGTCGGCATCGTCCCCGCCCTCGCCGCCCCCGATGACCTCTGGCCCAACCACGGCTTCTTCCTCCACCTCTCCGACTCCCTCCACTCCACCTACGTCTCCCTCTCCGACCGCGACGCCGACCTCATCCTCTCCAACCGCCTCCAGCTCGGCCACTTCGTCCACCTCGACCGCCTCCTCCTCGCCCCCGACTCCCCCGTCCCCCGCGCCTCCGGCCTCCGCCCCCTCCCCGGCCGCCACCCCTTCCTCGGCTCCCCCGAGCCCCTCGTCGCCCGCCTCTCCCCCTCCCGCCGCGACTTCGTCATCCAGCCCGCCTCCTCCGATTCCGACCTATCCGCCGACCCCATCGCCGCCTACCTGTCCCGCGACCGGCCGGACGGCGCGGCGAGGGCGGAGAGCGACCGGGAGGAGCCCAAGGCTTCGGAGAAGCCCAGATCGAGGCAGGCCCTTGCGCCGAGGGACAATTTGCCTAATACGAACTCCGATGCGGAGGCGAGGGTTTCGGCTCAGAAGCCCTCGAGGTTCTCGTCCCCTGCGACGGCCAAGAGGTCGGCGCCTGTCGGGAAGAAGATTGCTCCTGTTGCAGAGAGAGATCCGTCGCCTGCCGGAAAGGGGAAGCGATCGGCGTCCCCGGTACCCTCCAAATGCGTCGTGCCGAGCTTGGTCGCTGCGAAGGAAGAGAACAGGAGGAACTCGAAGGAACCGGCAATTATAGTGCCGTCGAGGTACAGGCAACCGTCGCCGAACGTTCGGAGGCAGGCGTCGCCAAGCACGAGGAGGGCTTCGCTTTCGCCGGGGAGGAGATTGTCGGTCGGTTTGAAGGTGTCGCCCATGGTGATGGACTCGGCAAGTAAGAAGAAGATGGCTACAATAGCTGCTGGGATTTCCAAGGTCTCAGAGGCCTTGGTTGGTTCGGGGAAGGCAGGCCGGAAGAACTGGGATGAGCAGCCTGCATCAGCATCGGCAGCTGCAACAGCAGCTCCAGCAACGGAGCAGAAAGAGAAGGCTCCTGGGAAAAACAAAGCCGATCTGCAAGCGATTTTGCGGACTCAGGTATTGATCTTTTCCTGTCGTAACTGGCAATTTAACTAAAGGCATGACATGGTTATGACGATTACCTGGATTCAGAACAGAGTGGGCGTTCGAATAAAGGTTTGGTTTTTATAATGCTTATTATAATCTGGGTGCTTGTTTTCTCATTGCGATTCACATTTCGCTGCTGTCATTTCTTGGAATAAGTTGCACTGTTGTAGATACCATGCTGGTGCGATTGGGAATTCATGAAAAAGGAGGCAGCATGTAGATTGATCCGTGTTTCTGTTAGTTCTTGATGAGAGGAAGAAGATATGTAGAAATCGCGCCAGGTTGAATAAGAAAGAAAAGAAAGAATGACCCTTGTCGCATTAGTAACATATGTACAATGCAATGAACTTGGGATTTACCTGCAGTGCTCTGGTTGGTATGATACTGTGGAGATTAACTCCAAGATGGCTTCGCTCACTGGTAATGTTTTTGTTAGAGAAGACAATTAGCCTTTTTATAATGCTAATGTGTCATAGCAACCCTCGGCTGCTGTATATGACAGTTTTCCATTAGAGAATATGGTTCTTTGAACCTCTCCACCATATATTGACCCTTCACATTTTTGAACTCTACATGGGTTCTTACTTTAAAGATAATTGCATCTTTTTCTCAGGCTGCTATATCTAGACGTCTTAGCGATGTGAGTGGTGGAAAGTCGAATGGTGATGATCTGTCAAGCAATGAGAAGGCGAAATTTGGAACACCTGAATCTGTCACTTCAGTTCCAGGAATTACCATTCATGAGAAGAAATGGACTGACGGCAGTGTTTCTCTCGACTCGGTCTGCAAAGAACTTCAGAGGCTTGGGAAGGTATTAGGGTTGACTAAGAACAAACTCACTCTTTATATTGTCAATTGGAGCAAAATTTAGTTCTTTTAACTCATGATCCATCTGTCAATCATATAACATCGTAAAAGCAGGGAATTGCTGAGAGAATCGTTTCTAAGTCATCCTAATTTTTCTTGACTAAAATGCAGGAGGCTATGCAGAGGAAACTTATTGCCTCCATTGCAGCTGCTGAAGCATTGGAGGAGGCCACTGCTACGGAGTCAGTAATGAGGAATTTAAGGTACTAACTTGACGCCAATTCTGCTTTTCACCTAGGAACACAATAAACATACAGAAGCACAGAAAATATCAACCTCAGGACACAAGCATGGGAGTTGCATAAATAAGATCTTAAATGCTCTGCAATGTGATGCAGGAAGTAAAGACAGCAATATGTGTCTGAATGCATCATTAGCATCGGCAGTTATGTGCCATTTAAACTTTTAGTCGTATTATTCAAAACTCCTAGTTGTATAGTTCGATATGGTACTGTCTGAGCAAAATTGTACTTTTTCTTCTGTTTCAGCATGTTTTCAGAACTTTGTTCCACATCTAAGGCTGGGAATCCTTTACCGTCCATTGACCGGTTCTTCTCGATTTATGACGAGGTTGTGAGATCGACTGGTGTTGTCAAATCTCTCTCTAGCAGCCGTGCGGCCTGTGCCGACGATACTATCGTCCCCACAGACCAATCGAAATTCTCGATTTGGGTGGAGGCAGCTTTGGCCACTGATCTTGATATCATCAATTTTTTAACTAATCAGAATAGTGAGCCGGCATCAGCTCTTCAGAAAACGTTGCTCAAACGACAATCTGTGAAGGCACATGGCAAGAACCACATGAAAGTGGCTTCTCCATCACGTTCCGACTCTGCCTGCGCTTGGACTAGGGGTCACGGGATGAAAGAAACTGCGGACTTTGCAATGAAGTTGCAGTCAGAGATGCAAATGTGGTTTGTCAGTTTCATTGAGAATTCCTTGGATGCAGGCTTTCGGGTGTTCGGTGAACGTGGTGGCGGGAAAGTACTAAATCTTGACGGTGGCTCTGTTACAGCTGTTTTGTCGCACTTGAAGCGCGTGAATGATTGGTTGGATCGTGCGGTGCCTAAAAGCGACGAGTTTCTTATGGAAAAGATTGAGCAACTGAAGCGGAAGATATACGGCTTTGTCATCCAGCACGTCGGTACGACCTTCGACAACTCCATGTCGGCTGCTTCGTCTTGAGTTTCTGGATGACCTGATTAAATATTTGTCAAGTATATCACATCTGTTCTTTCATCCTGTTCAGCATTTTTGTTTTGACCCCACGATCTTCTTGCAACTAGCAAGCTTGGATCATTCAAAGCTCATAAGGCTTGCATTTTAACCTCCTTAATATTTGTCAAGTACAACCTATTTCATTGTCTTGTGCAGTAATCTGTCAACCTGGTCTTCGTCATCTTCTCGGCATTTGGTGGCCGATTTATTATGTTACTATCCCACCTCGCGAACTCAATGTTGAAAAAGAAGGAAATTAATCACTGTCATCTCAATTCATGTTTCTGAGTCTTGTGCTAAGATTATTCAATTTCAAATCAAAAAGAGCCTAACAAAAAATGCTCGAGAACAGTTACTGGAGGAATCCAAACCATGGGTCATGTCGTCGGTACAACCTGAATCGATCACACAACATCTGTGAGAACTAGTCAAGAATCAAGAAACTGTACCAGTGGCTAAATTAGCCAGTGGGTTTAACACAATGGCCTTACTAGATCATCGAATCACCACCGGAGAGCGACAACAACAATCAAAAGGGGTGGGAGAGGATGACCATTGTAGCCGCCTCGGTTCCACAGTACGTTCAGCTTGCAGGTCCGCCGAGTCTGGCACGGCACCATCTCTGCCGGAGTGCAGACGAACCTCCGGAGAGGTCTTTGTGGGACGGGCGAGGTTGTCGTCAAGACCCTACCGAAGTGCGATTTGGGACCCCTTTCGATCTGTTTTGGCCTCCGTTGGTACCCGATTTTTTCTTTTTTTGCTAACATTATAGATAGATAGGAGCTTACTGATGCCATGTTTAAAGTTGCAGTTCAAAGAGAAGAAATTTTGTGTAATTCCTTATTATTATCCAGGAAATACATGTAAACTCATCTCTAGGAGATGAGGCTCATATGACACAAGAAGATTACAAATGCACCAACATGAATCTAGGAACTTTTGCCCTATAACCTGCCACTACTTCATGTGAATGTAATGTTGGCTAGGGGTGATCGATTCCGACCCTGAAATTTGAAACCGAACAAAATATGGTCGATTCTCAATTTGTGGAACCGGGGAATCGGCTCACTCGGTCCTAAAACCGCACTGTCGGTTTGGTCCAGTTTAAAGGTCAGTCCCGAAATCGGTGATTTCTTCTTTAAGTGGGAGTTTTCCAACATTAAAAGGAAAAAAATAATTTGCTAATTAGGATTTGCTTCATAATAAAAAATAAAAAAAAATTAAGAAATTTAGGCCGGTCCATCATTCCAATCCAGATAGTCCGGTCGGTTCGGTTCTTTATGTGGAACCGAAAATTGTCTAGACCATTCTGTTCAATCAGATCAGGTCCGGTCTGGTTCCGAACTGAATTGGGATCGATGCATACCCCTGCTGTTGGCGGACGTTGGAAATAACTGATGTTTTTTTTATGTCATTAAAGATCCTCACCTGAGAAAGTGGGGCCAAAACCTAGGCATGGCATCAAAATGTCCACTCATCCTCCATCTGTACATCGATTCTCCACACCCCTTCACGGTAACAAAAACTCTTCAATGAATCTGGTGCATGAGATGGGCTCCATGCAAGGACAAAGTACTTTTTTTTTATTACAACACATGACAATAACATAGATGACAAGTCAATCGCAACTTAAGAAATTCAAAAATTTTAGTACGACAAGAAATGACAAGCATAGCACGCGATTAATCTGATTGATTGGTCGCGATAAGTATTGAATTTATGATGGCAATTGTAATAAGCACTTCCCTAAGTAGCTGGATTTCATAAATCTGCGTCCAATTGGACGCCTTTTTTTTTCCTCGAAGAACCCTGTAGAGCGGGACTTTTCTCTAAACACCTCCTAAAATGAATCACACTGTGTTCCAATTGACCCCCTACCTCATTGCCGGCGCTCAAGACCAGCGTCCGACGAGCGCATGACCATCACGGGGCCATTTCCAACCGTTGGGCAGGGGCAATTTTTATCCCCCGAAAAATCGATTTTTTTAATTAAAACGCGCCAAAAGCGCGTGAGTGTTTGAGACATATCTACTATCTAACGGCGAAAGTATAACTTATTTCTAAATTCCTTACAACTATAGAAGATTTAATTCGCCCAAAATAAAGTAGACCCCCTTCTCTTCTATAGTCTCTCTCTAGAGGGGAAAGAGAGAGAGAGAGAAAGGAAACGTCCTCTTTTAACCTTAATGCATGATTTCCCAAGAGATTTCTTAATTAATTCTTGATTGCATCTTTATGTAATTTATCTCTTTTTGCATCATTTAATGTATAAGAATAAAGTGCCATGAAATGCGAAAAAAATTTTAAAAAAATATCTGATCCGTAATTAATTAATTTCTGGTGTTCGTGTATGTAATATATATCAGTCGCGAAAAACATTTCAGAGAGCTTTCGTCTCTCTCTCTCTCTCTCTCTCTCTCTCTCTCTCTCCCAGCCTTCACGTGGATCGTCAATGGCGGGAAGAATCAACCGGAGGGACGATGATGCTCTGGTCCTGAGCAGCACCAACGTCTTCGCAGCTCTCGGCAGCTTGAAGAAGAAGAAGAAGATGAAGACGACGGCGACGAAGAAGAGCGATGGAGAGGCCTCCAGGGGAGCTCAGGAGCAGGTCTTCTGGGCTCCCGCGCCTCTCAATGCGAAGTCGTGGGCTGACGTCGTCGACGACGATGACGACTACTACGTAGCTGCCATGCCGCCGGAGCGCGCATGGAGCCAACCAGGCGAGCCGAAGGCGGAGGAGGAGAGCGAGTCCGAGGCTTCTCTTGAGGAGGTCGGGTTGCTTGATTTCATGTACATTGGTGCAGTCGATATGTGTAACTTAACGTCTTCTCCTTTACTTCGTTTGTTTGATTATCTCGACAGTGATAATGTTATTGGGTTCGCGTGTTATTATCAGAATTCCGCGAGGTGTTGCGTTTGTGGTAAACATTACTGTTTGAGGTTAAGCTTGGTGATAGGAAACTTCCCTTTTTGTTTTTTCTCCCCATTTTGGCATTACATGTTTTAGATGGCCTCAAGCGGAGTGGAGAGTATCATCAATTGCTCCTTTTCTTTGGTTGCTGGAACATTTGTTTACCCTTTAAGATTCTAGTGCAGTGTAATGGGAAACTTTCTTGTGTTGATCATATAGATGCTACTGAGTTGAATGTTCGGGAGGCTTTGATATTAAATTAGCAAATAGCAATGATGTTTTTATGTTTCGCATATAAAAAAAGAAACTATGAATCTTTTCTTCAGTAGCATCCTTTTTACCAGCAATCTGTGTGTGTGTGTGTGTAAAAGAAGATAGTAGAATCTTAGTAGAAGGGATTGAAGAGGAAAGAGAATGCAGTGGAATTGCCAACACCTGTATTTAATATTGATGTGACTATCTTCTTACTTGTTCTGTTCCTTTGGACATTTTTGACTCATGATGGGTCAATGTAAAATTTGAAGAATGTACTCTGCGTAAGCATATATAGGCTTTTCGAGTTCTTTATGGAAGTAGAGGGATGGCATTGCTAGGAGCTTCAGCTTTTAAAGTTTAGCATGTGGGGTTAAGAGTTTCTTATTTGTTAAATTATCCTTTGACATCATTGACCTGCCTTTGAGTTCACCTCTAAATAGTGAGCTCCCTGTTTGATTGATGACTTCGTTTGGTATCTTGAAACGCGCTTACTGTTCAATGGTTCTGTGGCATTGTTGAACAAATCTGGATTTCTTGTCGAGTGTGTGCATTTTGCACTTCTCTGACTTTTGTTGGCTCAGAGGGCCACCTCCTTCATGTGGTGTGTGTTGATCTGCAATTTCTTGTGGAGCTGCAATTTTGGAACTTAAATCCTGAATGTAGGTGATTTAAGAGGGTGCAGGTTACAAATGATCTTTGAACCATATTTGCTGAAGAAACCTCTAATATGATTCTTATGCATAAAGCAATGACGTGCTGAATTAATGATTTTGTTTTGCTAATCCCCTTTGAGTTGCATTTTATATTCGTTCGCGCCCTTAATCCTTGCCTTTCTACCATTTTTGTCACTAGTGGTTGCAAATTAATTAAATCTGACCTGTGTTACCGTAAAAAGTCGTGATCCCTGTCGATAGCATTCCAGAAAATGCAATCCACAGTACCTAAACTTTGGAACCTAAAACTTGGAATTAATGTCTTAACTTGCAATCAAAACAAAGCTCATCTAATTAATCATTATGATGTAACTTTTCCTTCTTAAAAGAGCTGTCCTCAGTGAAGAGCTTTTTCTTGACATATTTCTTTGAAATCAACTCAAGCGGGTGAGACTAATTTAATCAATGCAATCTTCAACAGTTCAGGTAACTGCTTAGTCTATAAGTACGGTAGGACGTCAGCAGTTTCAGCTGTTTCATTGAAGGATGTTATGTTGTTCATGTGTTATTATGTCATCATTTCTCTTCCTTCCCATTGTGTCCTCTTAGAATCTGATAAATGTTCAGTTTTCATTTTTTGAGTTTTGTTATCCACTAAAATATCACCCCTATGCCGTGAGGGACAAAATAGGTTCCTGGAGGCCATAAGTCCATATTTGATAATTATAGTGAGCCGCTCTTGTATGTCGTGATGCCATTTGAAAACTTTCCTCTTTTGACCTTAGGAAAGTGAGAATGGTGATGGTCTTGTTGAAGTAGGCGATGAAGGCATGGAAGAAATTGAAAATGAACCTGAGTTTGCTGTGGACAGAGAACCTGTTACAAAGATGCCTATTGAAGCTCCTCCTGCTTTTAAAGAGACTGAAAGGCAGCTTTCCAAGAAGGAACTGAAGAAAAAAGGGCTTGAAGAACTTGAAGCTGTTCTTGCTGAGTTTGGTTATATGAACAGAGAGAAAAGCAGCCAAGATGAAACACAAGGTAATTTATAGTTCCTCTCTAGCATGGCATTGTCTTAGACTTTACTCTGTCAGCCTTGCTCTTCTTTTGGGCCAAATGTCAACCATTCTTTTAAGACTGATATATTATAGAACTTTTGAATGATGCCCCCTTTTATTCAAAATCACATTCCATCACCTCGTACTTGTGCGTTGCTAGTTGATACTTTTCAGTCTAGAGTATGATACTATTTGTTTCCACTTGTGGCACCCAGTTTTCGCCGTCAGTTCCTGTGAAGAAATTGTAAGGTTCTTTTTCTCCCACGGGCAATAACTTGGACTTTCTACTGGATAGTAATTGCTCTTTTTTCAATCCTAATCTCCCGTCGTTTCTTTTTTGAAGTTCTTTGTGTTGTTATAGATGAAAATGAGAGCAAATCCCTTGCTTTGTTTATTTCTTGCTGAATACTCGGGGATACGCTACAGGATACTTTGATTATCAACAAGTGGAATACTGGTATTCACTGTTTTGCGTGGATTCCTCGCTTCTCATCTGTTCACTATTGTTTTGGATGTATCGTATGTGTAAGAGGAAAACTGAGCATTCTACTGCTTCAAGTCCACATGCAGGACTAATTTGATGTTCCCTTTGTGGGAGGAGTTCATTGTTGTGTATATCCTTGCAGATGATGCACAGATGCGAAAACCAGTGGATTCCAATAGAGAAGTGGATAAGAAAGGGAATGCTCCTGGAGAAAGCAAAAAAATGAAGAAGAAAAAGAAGGACAAGTCTTTTAAAAAGACTAAAGAAGTGCAAGAGCAACTTGGTGGCACAGAAGTTGGAGCTAGAACAGATGAAACTACTGAGACCAAGAACTTCGAAGATAATTCTACCATTGACATAAAAGAGCGGCTTAAGAAACTGGCATCCACGAAAAAGAAAAAGTCTAGCAAAGAGATGGATTCTGCTGCCAGGGCAGCGGCTGTGGAGGCTGCTGCAAGGAGTGCAAAGCTTGCCTCGGCAAAGAAAAAGGAGAAGAATCACTATAATCAGCATCCGGCGCGGTGAACTGAGAAAACCTTTTTCCTGCCTTTTTATCTTTGTTATGCATGAGCATGAACTTTGTCTTGTTCATTGTTGGATAGAAAGTAAATAGTGGGAATCGGTGATATGAACATGGTTTTGAACAAGACAGATGGTTTTTCATGATGGAAAGAGGAAAAAATGTTTCTCTACCCTTGCCATGATTTCCTTCGCCGTGGAGCATAAACGCAATGCAACTAGGTGGGTTCTAAATGTTGATGTCGGAGTGGTTGGAGATTGAGAAGGAAAGTCGAATGCCACAATGGATATGCTCAACTCCTAAGCAATCTATCCTAGAATATGGGGCATATAACTCATCACTCAATGGAATCCGTCAAAGAGAAACAAAGTTTCAAAGATACTCTAATCCAAGATATAAAATCTGAAATTTCATTAAACAAAGCACGCCAATTCGTAGGGAGGCCCTAGAGAGGTTTATATAAACTCAATTTGGTACTGCCCTCTAAGTTAGGCAAATTCCAAGACACCTAATCTTTTATTTTCCAAGACAAGACCGACATTCTCTAGAAAAATCATACATAAAAGATTGATTCTTGACACAAGACGACTCTAGGAATAAATTACAATACATAAGACCCAACAAAATCATAGAAACTGTAAAAGACTCGTTCTAGGGTTAAACTGAGGAGCACTTAGTAATTTGACCATAACTTTCTCTAGAAGACTTAAAATTGCATGAAACTTGTTGCATTAGAAAGTAGACACTTTACAACCATGTATCAAAAGCAGAGAAAAAAGTACCCTTAAAGTTCTGCTAGCAGAGTCAAACTTAGCCTGCAAGCAATTTCGCATTAACTATTGGATAAGGTTCAATCTTCTCAAGACGTTCCTTCATCGAATGTGCTCAGAGTGTTGAGCCATTGGCCAAAGAGGAAAGTGTGGTGAGAACTGGGGCGGTTGTCGTCATTCTCAAGAGGAAAGTTTGTTGCTTTGGTTGCTTAGGTATGAACTAGGGCGGCTGTCATTATTCTCTTTATTTGTACTGTCACAGTGTGCATCATATGGTTTAAGTTCTATGTTTTGCCAAACCAGAGGAGAGTGTTGAGATGTGCACATTGTATCCCTCAAACGATGAACAAAGGAAAGAAGAAAGAAAGAAAAGATTGACAGAATGTGTCTGCTTAATAGTGGCTCAGACTACTCTGTGATTCCACACTTTTCTACTGTATCATTTAATCTTGAGTTAGGTTCAATCTAGCTCTGTTCTAGTTCAACACTTGTTCTCCAAACAGTAGAGTAGGCAAACAGAATTTAAGCTGCCAAACCTCAACGGACCTCCCTTCATGCGCTTACCATGTTTGTGACCTCCTATTAACCTTCAGCTGAAACGGTCTTGAAAGCAGTCATCCTTGCTCTCAGAAAGCAAATGGAAAAAAGGGAAAATGAAAGGTAAAGCACCAATCTCGACACAATTCCCCGCAAAAAATGTAGAAGCCCCGTTGATATAGGTCCAACCATCTTTGTCTTTCCTGGAATTTTGATCTTTATCTACTACAAATGCCACTTCTTGCTAGTGCCTCTATCACCATTCTCTCTCATGGCTCCTTTGGTACAAGAAGTCCATTTTCCTCAGCTTCACATTCCGATCACGATTGACCGGAAATTCCCAGTATTACCAGCAGGGCCTATTCCTGCTTCAGCCGGTGACAGCCTTTACCTCTCAAACCTGGATGATATGATTGGAGCGCGTGTTTTCACCCCAACAGTGTATTTTTATGGATCAAACTCGCTGACATCTGAATCAAGATCTCTCGCAGATGTACTACATGATGCATTAGCAGCTGTTCTCGTTCCTTACTACCCTTTATCAGGTAGGATGAGAGAAACCAAGAACGGAAAGCTAGAAATCTTCTTCGGAGCAGGTCAAGGGGCTCTCATGGTGGAGGCTCACTCCGAAATGGTCTTAGCTGATCTAGGAGACCTAACCGTGCCTAACCCAGGTTGGGAGCCTCTGGTTTACCGGTTTCCCAATGAGGAGCCGTATAAAATCCTCAACATGCCATTACTTATAGCTCAGGTGACCATGTTTAGTTGCGGTGGCTTTAGCCTTGGCCTTAGGCTCTGCCATTGCATCTGCGATGGGCTTGGAGCCATGCAACTTCTGCGCGCGTGGGCCACCACGGCAAAGTCAGGAACTCTGGTTATAGATCCTGAGCCATGTTGGGACCGAGAAATATTCCGGCCTCAGTATCCGCCAGTGGTGAAATTCCCACACACTGAGTTCAGGAGGATCGATGATGGATCAAGCCTCACGAAGTCCTTATGGATAGCCAAGCCGGTGCAGAGGTGTTACAAAATCAGCCCGGAGTTCCAAGCCAGGGTCAAGACCCTAGCTAAAGATGAAGCGTTCTCATGTACCACTTTTGATGCAATGGCTGCTCATATCTGGAGATCATGGGTGAAAGCACTCGATGTAAAACCGCGAGACTACCAACTCAGGCTTACATTTTCTGTCAACGCTCGCCAGAAGCTCAAGAATCCGCCATTGAAGAACGGGTTTTATGGTAATGCTGTTTGCGTGGCATGTGCAGTGAGCTCCGTGTCGGAGCTTATTGACGGGAGTCTCTCAAGCACGACTTCCTTGGTTCATGAAGCGCGGCTCAGCGTTTCGGAGGAGTATCTGAGATCTACGATCGATTATGTTGAAGTTCACAGGCCTACGAGGCTTGAGTTCGGTGGAAAGTTGACTATTACGCAGTGGACTAGGTTTTCCATTTATGAGTCGGCAGACTTTGGCTGGGGAAGGCCAATTTACGCCGGACCGATAGACCTAACCCCGACACCGCAAGTTTGTATTTTGCTTCCAGGAGGAGAATCCGATCCCAGTGGCACGATGGTCGTGTGCATTTGCTTGCCTGAGTCGGCGAGTGAAAATTTTAAAGAGCTTTTTAGTCTGATAGATTGAAGTCATTCATGAAAAGCAGTAGGGCTAATAGCTGAAAATGGTTCACGGTAACTTCGTCAGGTTTCCATTCAAATATCGAATTTGACATATCTTTGCTTGTCAATAAAAGCAAGAAAATTTACTGAGATACAGACTATTTGAGCAAATGAAGATCCATTCATGAATGTTTCAATATAGAATTTCATCGAACTTTGGATGCTGTATTGCACCAGTTACATTTGTTTCATCTCTTCTTGAGCGGAAGATCGAGTCTCTCTGATATGAGTAGAAGAAGAACTCAAATCGGCCTGCTTGTCCTTGTTCAAACTCTAACAGACCCTAAAAAACTGGCAACTGTCGAAAGGCTCGAATTTTGCTAAGCAATGAAATCTGTGAACTCTATTCCTGAATTGATTGAAATTTTGATTAGAAATAAGTTCTTGTTTTTCTTTGGCTTTAGTGAATCTAACAGAGGATGTACGTGCTGTTATATTCTCCTCTTCTTTTTCTCTTTTTACTTCAAGCTTCATAATGGCAGCATCAATAAGATGACTCCCAAGTCTCCCAACTTCTGTCCAAGCTCCCTTGTTATATAATAGAGCTGTCATTCTTCATCACATAATCTAATTAAAAAGCATGCATTCGTCTTAATAAGTGCTACTTAAATGCAACCGCTATTTTAAAATAAAATAAAAAATCTAACCCAAGATAAAATTTGACAAAAAAAATTGTTTTTAATACCTTGCATCGCACGTGAATTCAGCTAGTGCAAATGTAATTGTTGGACAAGACAAACTTTGGCTACTAGCAACGAATGATACTTGTTTAAACCTAGTCAATCCATCAAGTTGCATAAGTAATGTGGAATACGGACCACATTAAAGGACATGAGCCTTAAGCGAATTCTTTGCTATAATCTTGGCTTAATCCATCGGGTTCACAGTACTGATAGGAAGAGCTTAGACAACAATTTCCCTCTTGGAGCCCTTCTCTCTTTGGGCTCGCAACGCCGAATTAGACATCGCCAAGGCCAGGCCTGACCTCATTGGCCTCGGGCGACACCAAGCAACTCCCGACGCCGATTTGCAAGCTATGAGAGAGAGGCCAGGGAAACTTGGGATAGAGGAGGAGAGAGGGGGGCCTTTGCCGATCTCACCAGCCTCAAGTGGCCCTAGATCTGACGTCGTCCGAGGCTAGGCGGGATGCCGCGAGGTGATCGTGAACTCAGATTTCCTGAGCTCGTGACCACCAAGCCCAAATAGAGGAGGGGAGAGAGCGAGCGCGGGGGCTTGCTGATCATTGCAAGCTAGACGGCGGCAGCTTGGCAGCATGGTAGCGAAATCGGCGGCACCGGGCGCATCAATGGCAGAGGTGGAGGAGAGAGAGGGGTTGGTAATTGGGGTAAATTTCTTAAATCACAAGGCATTCTTGTCCAAGGGGTAACTATAGGTCAATGTGGAGGATGCTAAACATAGAGGATTCCAATCCCCTAACTAGTACCACAAAAATGCAAAGAATCCGATCGGTTCAATGACACCATTGGGCCTCAAGTTAGAATTTTTATTTTAATTTGATGGCCCAAAAAGAGAGAGAGTATGTTTTTCATGTTTCCAAACGGTCCTGGAACGACTAACTTTACTTCGAATTTCAAATTAAAAGCGACACTACCATAGTGGCCTCCAGTTGGAAAAATGGCATTACTCTTTGTTTAGTCGAAAGTTATGCAATTATGCTTCTTTTGTTCATCGAGGAAAACACATAGTGGTTCTTTCTTTTTTTAATTTTAGGTCCCATTGTTTCATGAAAAAAATGAATCATTCGAAAAATATTTATTTAAAAATGATTATCCGTATCGTTTACGAAAATGAATAAAGAAAATATTTTTCAAATTATTCATTTTTCGTGAAATAAACGGGAACTTAATGTACGTGGACTGAACTCGAGAAATATATGGGTTTTATTTTCAAATTGAAAACTATTGTTATTTTATCGCGTGTAAATACACTATATGAATACCTTTATTTATAGAGTTTGCGTAATTGTCCACGTTTGTCATTCGCTTGATTACTGTACTTTTTTTGGACAGTGTTTAATTAATGTACTTAATTAGTTTTTGGTAGGATTCCAATGATCAAATGGATTTGTGGTTATATAGACCAACCTCTTTCTGGTTGCTTTCTTCCTAAAGCGTCGTATAGGTCCTCTAATAGATGGGTTCCCTTTGATAAGTCCGTTTGTCCCATCTTTAGACAAACCTTCATGTCAACAATTTATATATGATATAATTAAGTATTAGCCGTATCTCTAGATATTGGATATGTATTCGAGTACCCATTTGCTTTTTTTTTTTTTAATTTTTTTTTTAATAAATATTCATTATTGGAATGTGTTCATTGGGAATTTCCCAAAGCATCTACAACAAATAGCACATCAACTTAAAGGAGAGTGGTTCATCTACTTTAGGAATTGCGAGTACTGAAGACTCCTTGAACTTGAGTTTTTGTGGGGTTGATTCTAATGTAAACCTTGCATCGATGACGTACCAAGAAATTCATAAGATTGCGTTTGGTCGTCTGAATTTCTAATCAGAATAGGACCGGATAGAATAGGATATGAAATCCAAGGGATTTGCTATATCATATCTATTGTTTGGTGAATCGTAACAATAAAGCCAGAAATTTTCACATCTTACTATGTCCATTATTTGCGATTCTTTTTGGCCGGTTAATAGAAAATAATATTGAAATTAAAGCTGGTCATGCAAGATTAAAGCTAGTTATATCGACAATCAACGAAAACACCTTCTCAATTACATGACTCAATCTACATCTCCCAGATCATGCGTATTCGATATGGTGATATCAAGAGGTAAAATGTGCCAAATTTGTTTTCCTTCAAATGAGAGGATCTCAATTTTGGAATGAAACATCGTCTTTAATGCTCTGTTTATTTCACGAAAAATATAACAGTTTTGAAAAATATTTTTCAAAATATCATTTTCAGGGAAACTGACAAGATTTTTCGGTGTTTGGTGAGAATGAACTAGAAAATATTTTCGGTCATTCGGTGTCTAATTTGATTTTCCTTGGGGAAAATTACTAAACAAATCAATTTTTTATTTTAATTTTTTCCTTTTCTTTCTCTTTCTTTTTCTTTCTTCCTCGGTCGATTGCCAGCCATGGCGGTTGCTAGCGACTGGCTAAGGAAGCAAGAGAAAGAAAGAAAAGAAAGAAAAGAAAAAAAGAAAAAAGAAAATAAAAATTTGAATTTTTTTAAAGATATTTTTATTAAAACGAACATATCATTAACTAAGGACCCAAGCTTGAGCCCCGAGGACCTAAGCATGGCCTTCATGGGCTCGAGCCTGAGTGCGGGGGCCTAGAGCTCAAGCATTGGGGACCCAAGCATGGCCTTTATGCACCTGGGCTCGGGTGCCGGGTCATCGGGCATGAGCATTAGGATTTCGGGCTCGGCCTAGATGGACCTGGACGTGGGCACTGGGGCCTGGGCCTAGCCTTGATGGTCTCGGGCCCAGGCTCCGGAGACCCGATCTTGAATGCCAGCGACCTAGGAACCAGAGTTGGGTTCCTTTGTCCAAGCGTAGAATTTAGTGTCTAAGCGCCGATACCTAGTCATATTTTAAAAAATATTTCCCGACTTTTTTAAAGAGGAAATCATTTTCCTAAATTTAAGCATAGATTTTCTGTTGACCAGAAAAACATTTTCCGTCAACTCATTTTCCTAAGCGAACCAAACGTCAGAAAATGTTTTCTCGAAAAATATTTTCTGCAAAACAAATGGAACCTAAATGTGCATGAAGATTTCTTTTTACTACTCTTTTTGCACTCGCACCTGTTTTCGAATTTTGATCTAGCTTTGCAGATTAAAGTCTCTTTCTTTTAGATTGAGTATCAAAGTCAACTCACATAATCTGCAAAGTATGCAAAGTTTCCACCTTTTTGGTAACATTAGACATGAGTCGGGGCCATCTCTCGAAACTGCGTTGATGCTGCCAAGTGCTAACTAGCTAACACCAACTAAGTGCTGCTTACTGCTTAGGCGTAGCTTAGCTGGAGATGGCATTTAATTTATTCAAATTGAAAACTACTATAGTTTTATCACGTGTAATTACACTACATGATTTATAAAGTTCGCGTGGTTGTCCACGTTTATCATACGTTTGATTACTGTACTTTTTTTGGCCAGTGTTTAATTACTACTGTACTTAATTAGTTTTTGGTAGGATTCCAAAGATCAAAATGGAATTTGTGGTTATATATACCAACCTCTTTCTGGTTGCTTTCCTCCTAAAGTGTCGTATAGGTCTTCTAATAGGGCCTAATACCTTAAAAAAAAAACCCTAATTGTAGGTCTAGTCTCATTTCTACTCTAATTTTTTTTTGTCCCATAGAAAACCTCAACTTTAGATCTAATCTCAATTTTACTCTTAACATTTTTTTGCCCCATGGAAAAACCCTAACTTTAGATCTTGTCCCAATTCTACCGTCCAGTCCAAGTTTTGCCCTAAAATTTTTTTGGTTTTGTAAAAAACCACAAATTTTTACTTGAGTCACAAATCTGACCCTCATTAACCCTCCATCCAAAATTTCTCATTGACAATCGAGAAATGAAAAATTTGCAAGCACGACCTGTTCGAATTTCCCGAGCCGAGTGTCTCGAGCGCCACCTCTTCAAGATCGAGCTCTCCAATCACGAGAGATGGAACACTATGGCTAATTTTTTGTATGGAACACTACGGCTAACAATGAATATTTATAATTAAAAAGAGGGTTCAAGAATACATATCTACTATCTACAAATACAGCTAATATTAATTATATCATATATAAATTGTTAATGTGTCCGTTTATCCTGTTCACAATTTATATATGATATAATTAATATTAGCCGTATTTGTAGACATTAGATATGTATTCATGAACCCATTTTTTATTATAAATATTCATTATTGGAATGTGTTCATTGGGAATTTCCCATTGCATCTCCAACAAATTGCCCATCAACTTAAGGAGAGTGGTCCATCTACATTAGGAATTATGAATATTGAAAACTCCTTGGTCTTGAGTTTTGTGGGACTGATTCTAACGGGAGCGTTGCATCGATGACGTTCCAACAAATTCATGAA